TGTATATATGTGTGCTTGTGATATATATGTGGTTTTGCACTTGTTGTAATGCATTTTTTTAGCCTTTTAAGTCTTTTCTGCTGTGTTTTTCAGTGTTTTTATGAGTGACGGTCACTTTTTGGCTTGATACGTGTATTGTGTCCAAATTTGGTGTCAATTTGTCCAGTGGTTTTTGAGTTATCCTAATCCCACAAATGAACATTACATTTTTATTTATATAGATTCAAAAATGTCCGAAAAAAACCCACATCATTTTTGAGCATTGAGAAATCTTGATGAGAAGAATCCTGAACTGATCTAAATTACCCTGAAAACAATATTTTCTGAAAAGGCGTTTTTGGCTTGGAAAATAATATTTGATGTCTGGACAGAAAACGTTGATTTCTGCACAGAAAAAAAGCTGTAGTCAGGGTTTTGTTCTGCATGAAATTCACACTTAGAGGGGTTGCATAGAAAATAGCATCTTTCACATTTGAATTAGTATTTGAATTAATATTTGCAATGACATCTTCCCTTATGATCCTGTGCAGACTTTAAGATCTGCTAGAGAGGCCCTTCTCTCGCTCCCACCTCCATTGCAAGCGCGGTTGGTGGGGACAAGAGAGAGGGTCTTCTTGATGGTGGCCCCCTCGGCTCTGGAACTCTATCCCCAAGGAGATTAGATTAGTGTCAACCCTGTCCATTTTCCATAAAGACCTAAAAGTGTGAATGTTCCAATGTGCCTTTGCTTAATCAGTTCACTAGTGATTTCACCCTTTTAGCCCAAACTTAGTATCTGGCTCTTGCACTTTATATCAGCCCCTCTCCTGTAGTTGTATTGCAGTAATTGACTAATTGGCCCTTCTAGCTCTAACTTAATACCTGGCTCTTGCATTCTACTATCAGCCCGGCACTTGCAGTTGTTTTGCACAAGGCTTTGCCCTGCCCTTTCCGTGCTGAATATGTCCACTGTGCTCAGCTACTGGTTGTTGGTTGTAGGTGGTGTTATGTTTTTTATGTTTTTATGGTGTTTGTATATGTATTTTATTGTGTTATTGTATTATTATTATTATTATTATTATTATTATTATTATTATTATTATGTGTTGAAAGTTTTCCATGCAGAAAATGCAGCATTTCTTTGCCGAAAAGGCTGTTTTCTGTACCTAAAATTCTGTTTTCTGAACAAATTAACTACCATTTTTTGCACAATGCACCCCAAATTGCAAATAATCTTTGAAAACAATCTGGTTTTCAGAGGCTTTCTCCTTGTACAAATTAAATTGCTGGAAATATTTGTTTCTACCTTTGAGAAGAAACTTAATGTAGGTTGTTGTAGATTTTTTCGGGCTGTATGGCCATGGTCTAGAGGCATTCTCTCCTGACGTTTCGCCTGCATCTATGGCAAGCATCCTCAGAGGTAGTGAGGTTTGTTGGAACTAGGAAAAAGGGTTTATATATCTGTGGAATGACCAGGGTGAGACAAAGGTATCTTGTCTTCTGGAGCTAGGTGTGAATGTTTCAACTGACCACCTTGATTAGCATATAATGGGCTGACTGTGCCTGGAACAAACTTTTGTTGAGAGGTAATTAGACGTCCCTGCCTGCTTCCTCTCTGTTGTTGTGCTGTTGCAATTTTAGAGTTTTTTAATACTGGTAGCCAGATTTTGTTCATTTTCATGGTTTCCTCTTTTCTGTTGAAATTATCCACATGCTTGTGTATTTCAGTGGCTTCTCTGTGTAGTCTGACATGGTGGTTGTGAGAGTGGTCCAGCATTTCTGTGTTCTCAAATAAAATGCTGCGTCCAGGTTGGTTCATCAGGTGCTCTGCTATGGCTGATATCTCTGGTTGAAGTAGTCTGCAGTGCCTTTCATGTTCCTTGATTACCATCAACAACAACAACAACAACAACACAACAGCACAACAACAGTGAGGAAGCAGGCAGGGACATCTAATTACCTCTCAACAAAAGTTTGCTCCAGGCACAGTCAGCCCATTGTATGCTAATCAAGGTGGTCAGTTGAAACAGTCACACCTAGCTCCAGCAGACAAGAGTCCTTTGTCTCACCCTGGTCATTCCACAGATATATAAACCCCTTTTCCTAATTCCAACAGACCTCACTACCTCTGAGGATGCTTGCCATAGATGCAGGCGAAACGTCAGGAGAGAATGCCTCTAGACCATGGCCATACAGCCCGAAAAACCCTACAACAACCCAGTGATTCCGGCCATGAAAGCCTTCGACAATACATTTAACTTAATGTAGATTTGCATGCCTGAATAACAGAGACAGACCCATAGTTCCCTTTAGGCTTTGCACACTCTGTAATTGTACTGCTCTGATTCAACTTTACTTGGCATGGTTCTATCACATGGAAACAGGATTTGCAGTTTAGAAAGGGGTACTTCAGTACTTTTAAAAAGTTTGGTACAGTCTTAGCAGATAAAATGAAATCATCCCACTTTAAATATGTAGAAGTGGAGCCTCCAATCCAAAAATTGTCCATCCAGGTGGCTGAGATGGGCATTTTTTGCTTTCTGGTGGTTCAGTGTACACAAACATTCATATACAAAATGATTTAAAATATTGTGTAAAAATGACATTCGTACTATGTGTCGAAGGTACATAAAAAACATGAATGAATTTCATGTTTACATTTGCATTCCAATTCCAAGACATCTCATAATGTGCTTATATGCAAATAGAGGAACACTAAAATCCCAAAATAATCTAACCCGCCCCCCCCCCCAAAAAAAAAAACCAAACAAAACAAAACCCAAAGCACTTCCAGTCCCAATTATGTAGGCTGAAGGAGACTTAATCTGTAATGTGAAAGGCCTCCTAACTTGATTTCCGGTTCCTTTAAATGTAAAGAGAAAACAAAGCCGGAAGAACAATCTTGAGAATTCTTGCTGTTTATATAATAAGTTCTGAAATTCCTTGGTTCAACATACCCAGCATATAGTTTACCGTAGTTTTCTGATAAATATTTTGCTTGAATAGTAATTTACTGTCCCACCAATCCCCAGGGCATTTAGCTGCTGATAAAGTCACCAGTTGTTTTCAGCTTTACCTTTTCTTTTTTTTTCCAAACTGCTGTTGTGGTTGATATAGTGAACTGCAAGGTTGTAATAGTCTGAAAAATATGTAAATGTATTTGTTTGTTTATGTAAGCCATATGGAGAGAATGTTTTAGATGGGAAATTGGATTAGACGGCATGTGGATCTGTTCAACAAGGTCTAAAGGCAAGCAATCAAGATATTAAAGGGTTTGCTTTTTAAGAAGCTAAACCAATGAAATCTTGCTAAGCCTCAAGTTATAAATAGACTGCTATGTCGCACTGTTCAAGTGTATGGTGTTTTAAAGCATGACAATACGTGTTGCTATTCCCAAGAAGCTTATCTCAAAAACTGTCAGTTTTGAAAGGTTTGCTCACTCTCCAGTATTTCACAGGTGAAAACTGAGACACATGGACCGGGCTTTAGCACAGCAGGTTAACCGCCAGCTTTAATAGGAGACCTCAGTAGCGCAATGGGCTAAAGCAGGGGTCCTCAAACTAAGGCCCGAGGGCTGATACGGCCCTCCAAAGTCATTTACCCGGCCCTCGCTCAGGGTCAACCTAATTCTTAGGTTGACCCTGAGCTAGGGCTGGGTAAATGACTTAAAAGCACACAACAACAACAACAACAACAATCCTATCTCATCAGCCAAAGCAGGCCCACACTTCCCACTGAAATATTAATAAGTTTATATTTGTTAAAATTGTTCTTTATTTTAATTATTGTATTGTTTTTAACTGTTCTTTGCACGACAAATAAGATGTGTGCAGTGTGCATAGGAATTCATTCTTTTTTTTTTTTCAAATTGTAATCCGACCCTCCAACAGTTTGAGGGACTATGACCTGGCCCTCTGTTTAAAAAGATTGAGGACCCCTGGGCTAAAACCTTGTGCTGGCAGGAGTACGTGTGAAAAAGATCGTGGAGTCCTTGTGGACAACAAGTTAAACATGAACCAACAATGTCATGCAACGGCAAAAGAGTCAATGGGATTTTGGCCTGCATAAATAGGATAGTAGTGTCTAAATCTAGGGAAGTCATGCTACCCCTCTATTCTGCCTTGGTCAGACCACAACTGGAATATTGTGTCCAATTCTGGGCACCGCAATTGAAGGGAGAGGTTGACTCTAAGCTGGAATGTGTCCAGAGGAGGGTGATGCAAATGATCAAGGGTCTGGAGAACAAGTCCTATGAGGATTGGCTTAAAGAGCTGAGCATGTTTATCCTGCAGAAGAGAAGGTTGAGAGGAGACATAGGAAGGAGGGAGCAGGCTTGTTTTCTGCTGCCTTAGAGACTAGGATGTGGAACAATGGCTTCAAACTACAGGAAAGAAGATTCCACCTGAACATGAGGAAGAACTTCCTGACTGTGAGAGCTGTTCAGCGGTGGAACTCTTTTCCTCAGAGTGTGGTGGAGGCTCCTTCTTTGGAGGCTTTTAAACAGAGACTGGATGGCCACCTGTCAGGGGTGCTTTGAATGCCATTTTCCTGGTTTTTGGCAGAATTGTGTTGCACTGTATGGTGCACGAGGTCTCCTACAACTCTATGATTCTGTGAATATAAATACTGTAATTACATAAATAAATGTGGCCAAGAAGGCAAAAGTGATGAATTTAGAAGCTAAGAGAGACTGCAGCTGTTTGCTTTTGCCTGAGCCTACAGGGAAGCACCATTAAGTGCTGAGTTTATGTTCCAAATACTTTTGCACTTCGAATTCGGGCTGTACAATGGAGGTAGCTATGACTGAAGGTCTAAAAGCTAACTGGGGGATTTTAAAATAGCTGAAAAGATGGAAAGTTGCAAAATTAATTTGGAATGTGGCTAGCAAATCGAGACTTTTGCAAGAATTAAGGCAAGCAAATGATGGATAGAAACAAAGCCATGTCTTCTCTTTGTTTTCTTACATGGTTTCATCCCTTTGACTCTGTCTATGTGCATGTCCCTTTTCTCCCTTCCTCCAGCCCCGTATTGCAGCCTTCCATCTCCTCCTCTCTTTGGCTCCATCTTCAGCCACACTGGCCTTCAGCCTGGAAGCACCATCCAGTTTGGTTGTGAAGCCGGCTACCGCCTCGTGGGCCACAGCATTTCCATGTGCTCAAGGCACCCGCAGGGCTACTTCCGCTGGAACGAAGCCATTCCTCTGTGCCAAGGTTGGTCTAAGCCACATGCATGTATAATTTCTGTTATCTATTTTGGTTTTGATCTGCAGATAGGTGGGAAATGAACCATGAATAAAGGCACCACCCTTCGCCATTTTGGAGGAATCCATGAAGATTGTGCAATGTCCTACACTTTGTGGTATGGAAAGAGCAGAGCTAGGAGCCCCCAGTGGCACAGAGGGTTAAACTTCTGAGCTTCTGAACTTGCTGACCGAAAGGTTAGTGGTTTGAATCCGGGAGCAGGATGAGCACCCACTGTTGACCCTAGCTTCTGCCAACCTTTCAGTTCAAAAACATGCAAATACGAGTAGATCAATAGGTACAGCTTCTGCAGGAAGGTAACGGCACTCCATGCAGTCATGTCGGCCACATGATCTTGAAGACGTCTACGGACAACACAGGCTCTTTGGCTTAGAAATGGAGATGAGCACCACCCCCCAGAGTTGGACACAACTAGACTTAATCTCAAAGGGAAACCTTTACCTTACTTTAAGAGCAGAGTTGGAGTTAGCAAGTTGTAGCTCTAAAGTGGTCTTTTCAAATGCATCCCACATGTTTCACTCTTAGAAATTCAATCCAAACAGAACAATTATTTTTACTTTTTGCTTCCTTCCTTCTGTTTCCTGATTCTCTGCATTTCTGTCTATATTTCTATTTTTATATTCTTATCTATCTTCTGCATATGGGGCATGAAGAGACTTTGGGCCTTTTATTCAACACTGTTGCAGATTTGGGCTAGTTTGGCCTATCATTGTGTAAATTGAGGCAGTTGGTTGCCTCGAAAGTCAAATGCAAGGAAATAGCTACAAATTGTTGCATGTTAGTGGATCTGTTTTATGCTCCCTAAGCTATTTATTTGTCGTGTCAGGGCAACCAGTCAATTGTATTACATTTCTAACAAAACAAAACAAACAAACAGACAAAATACAAAATTTGCGAGTTTGGTAGTTGATTAAATGTCCTTTGACCAGTAGCTGGCCACTTGGAGTGCTTCTGGTGTTGCTGCAAGAAGGTCCTCCATTGTGCATGTGGCAGGGCTCAGGGTGCATTGCAGCAGGTGGTCTGTGGTTTGCTCTTCTCCACACTCATGTGCCGTGGATTCCATTTTGTGGCCCCATTTCTTGAGGTTGGCTCTGCATCTCGTGGTGCCAGAGCGCAGTCTGTTCAGCGCCTTCCAAGTCGCCCAGTCCTCTGTGTGCCCAGGGGGGAGTCTCTCATTTGGTATCAGCCATTGGTTGAGGTGCTGGGTTTGAGCCTGCCACTTTTGGACTCTCGCTTGCTGAGGTGTTCCAGCAAGTGTCTCTGTAGATCTTAGAAAACTATTTCTAGATTTAAGTCGTTGACGTGCTGGCTGATACCCAAACAAGGGATGAGCTGGAGATGTCCTTTCACTTGGTCCTTTCACTATTGGCGGCAACTTTCTGGCGGATGTCAGGTGGTGCAATACCGGTTAAGCAGTGTAATTTCTCCAGTGGTGTAGGGCGCAGACACCCTGTGATAATGCGGCATGTCTCATTAAGAGCCACATCCACTGTTTTAGTGTGGTGAGATGTGTTCCACACTGGGCATGCGTACTCAGCAGCAGAGTAGCATAGCGCAAGGGCAGATGTCTTCACTGTGTCTAGTTGTGATCCCCAGGTTGTGCCAGTCAGCTTTTCGTATGATATTGTTTCTAGCACCCACTTTTTGCTTGATGTTCAGGCAGTGCTTCTTGTAGGTAAGAGCACGGTCCAGAGTGACTCCCAGGTATTTGGGTGTGCTGCAATGCTCCAGTGGGATTCCTTCCCAGGTGATCCTCAGAGCTCGGGATGCTTGTCTGTTCTTGAGATGAAAAGCACATGTCTGTGTTTTAGATGGGTTGGGGATCAGCTGGTTTTCCCTGTAATATGCAGTAAGAGCACCTAGAGCTTCCCTAAGCTGACCTACAGTGAAAGAAACTTTCCAAAAAAGTTTTGACTGTTACACAGTCAGCTTTGGTACATGGAATGGTACGTGGCCCCACCTTGGTCTTTATGGCAGTCATCAAAATAACTGTCTAGACTCTATAATGTCACTTCTACTGGGACCTTTTTTATTTCATATGATATGACTTTTCTTCAACAGATGTCTTTTTGGCACAATGAATGGATTTAGTAGTGGTCTGAGTGCTGGACCGCTACTATGGAAACCAGGTTTCAAATCCCCACTCAACTATGGAAACACAGTGGGTGACCATGAGCAAGTCACACACTTTCAACCTCAGAGGAAACCAATTGCAAATATCTTCTGAAACAAATCATGGCAAGGAAACCTTCTGATAGGATCTCCATAAGTTGGATACCACTTAAAGACACACAACATCAGCAACAAAACCTCAAACAGAGCTGCAGTTCCCTTGCCAGGGAAAATCTTTTGAAAAAAGCCAAATACAGATCGAATTTTGGAACAAAAGTGGATTTGGGATTTTGGAATACTTGCAGCTACATTACAAGACATCGTTTAGATGGGACCCAAGCAAGGAAGTCACTTTTATGCACAAAATTTAAAATATTTTTGTGCATGAAATGATATTTGTGTACATCCAAAAGCAAAGGTGTCACTCTCTCAGCCACCCATGTCAATGATTTCCGCTTTTGGAGTATTGGGATGCTCAACCCATAACTCCAATCATTTTTTCTAGCTGAGTGGGATCCAGCCTCTCTGTCATACCAGTCTTTTCCCTCTTTCCCTGAATTCGAAGTCAGTTTTGCCAATACCTCTATGTCAGTGTTCAGGGCCGTAGCCAGAGGGAAAGCGTGTTTAAGGGTTCTACCCCCCCCCCCCAAAAAAAAAACACCCTGGTTTACTGATGAATTTTAACTGGTTAACCAATTTATGAGTAAACCAGTTTTCTTTTTTAACCTGACACATTTCAGGGCAGGTTTTAACTTTTAAATCTCCCCTCCCCATGGCTATGGCCCTGTCAGTGTATCTTAACCTGGGGGTAAGGCCCCCGGGGGGGGGGGGGTCACGAGGGGATTTCAAAGGGGTCGCCAAAGACCATCAGAAAATATATATTTCTGATGGTCTTAGGAACCCTTTTGGCAGAGAAGGCTGAAGATCTCTCCACCTGCCCTTCTGTTCCTTTTTGGAAACATACGGTGAATCCTCCCATCTAAAGTGCAATAAAGCAGCGATACCTTACCAGTCCAATTACATTAGACCCAGATGATCAAGATGGTTTTAAACAGTGTATTTTAAAATTGAGACAAATGTTTTTAACGTTTATGTACGCATATAATGAATTCTTGTCCCGGCATTGAATGTTTGCCATATATATGCTGTGCTCCGCCCTGGGTCCCCTTCAGGGTGAGAAAGGAATATAAATGTTTTAAATATATAAAAATAAATAATACAGCCCTCCTCCGCTGTGATTGTCTGGCCTCTCGGCCAAGGGGAGGTCTGTTTCTGAGACTCCAAGTGGGGAGGGGAGAGCAGGCGTGCTTGGTGCATGGCAGCATGCTGCGCATGTGTGGGTGAGGGAGAGAATGCAAGGCTTAAGAGAGGCCTGTGCCAGCGATTCCCTTCAAGGCAGAGGGGTTCTGCGTGGAAAGTTTGGCTCAATTCCATCATTGGTGGAGTTCAGAATGCTCTTTGATTTTAAGTGAACTATAAATTCCAGCAGCTACAACTCCCAAAGGTCTATATTCCCCAAACTCCACCAGTGTTCACATTTGGGCATATTGAGTATTCATGCCAAGTTTGGTCCAGATCCATCATTGTTTGAGTCCACAGTGAGATGGGCCAAAACTAACATTAGAGAGATGGGCCAAAACTAACAAAATGAAGTTCAACAGGGACAAATGCAAGATACTCCATTTAGGCAGAAAAAACGAAATGCAAAGATACAGAATGGGGGATGCCTGGCCCGAGAGCAGTACATGTGAAAAAGATCTTGGAGTCCTCATGGACAACAAGTTAAACATGAGCCAACAATGTGATGTGACGGCAAAAAAAGTCAATGGGATTTTGGCCTGCATCAATAGGAGCATAGTGTCTAGATCTAGGGAAGTCATACTACCCCTCTATTCTGCTTTGGTTAGACCACACCTGGAATATTGTGTCAACAACAATTCTTTATTGATTAGTCAATTTTGACCATATCAAAACATGCAAAACATACAAAACATAAACATACAGTAAAACCACATATGAACACAAGGCATCATGGCCTACTGGCCTGTCGACCCACTCCCAAATAATTGAGCAACTACAAGACAAAGAGGCTAAAAGATTAAAACTTGATTAATTCCTTAAAATAGGGTTAGGGTGGGGGGCATGGGTAGGTAAAACTAGTGGCGTGTCCATATTAAGTTTTTAAGTTTGAGTTTTGTTGATGGCAGCAAGGTCGCCTCTCTCTGCTTCCATCTTCTCACGGATGGCCAGCGCTTTTTGGGTAAAAAGGGTCAATTTTAAAATAGAGTTTTTATCTGAACCCTGAAGAAGGATGCGCAATTTCTCCTTATTTTCTGAATAAGTATGGTTCTCCAGCAGAGGCTCTAGGTAGTAAGACCGGATCCTGTTGTAGTAGGGACATTTTAAGAAAAAATGTTCTGAGTCCTCCACTTCTGCATCTACCTCACGGCACCCACAGGTTCTCATCGTGTAGGGGATATTCTGATGTCGTCCCAACTTGGACTTAATGTCGAGCTGCTCAAATCTAGCCCGGGTAAAAACTTTTCTAAGATAGAGTGGAAGTATAAAAGAGAGGTAAGGTTCCATGCCCACGTTACATTTAAATTTGGCCAGGTATGGAGTGGCTCTAGCTTACGCTATAATCATTAGATCATTTTGTGCAGCAATGTCGAGAGCTCAATATATCCCATATGCATGGGGATTGACCACACCTGGAATATTGTGTCCAATTCTGGGCACCACAATTCAAGAAAGATATTGACAAGCTGGAATGTGTCCAGAGGAGGGCGACTAAAATGATCAAGGGTCTGGAGAACAAGCCCTATGAGGAGCGGCTT